CATACGGAAAATACGCCACTCGGGTCCCGGATGAAGTGGCGTATGGAATCTACGAGTGGTTTAGTTCCCAGTAAAACACTCTTCTCCATATAATAAATTTCAATATTACATCTCTCACATCTCTTAGACAGCTCTCACAACCATAGACAACGTGAGCATATGAGGAAAGCAGCTATTCCCAAAATATGTTTGATTCTTAGCATAGTCTCTATACAACTAGTGGTACAGAGTTACTTCCAGTCCCCACATTAGCGTTGCAAATGTTTTCACACATGTAACTACAAACTGCCCACTCGAGAGTTTCCACTGCCACCCTAGCATTAACTACCAAGGTCCATGGAATAATTCTGGTAAAGTTAAAATTTGCTAGCTTTCCAAGTAAACGGGACGGCCATAGTCGGTCACGGGCACCCGGACTAAGTTTTTTACCTGTCATAAACGTCACTTGGTGGTACATTTTGGTAACAGCTTTAAATTTTAGAGGGGCCACGGCTCGCTAAATTGACCAATCACAGCGCGTGTAATAACTGAGAGATATAATAAGAGCTCTTATGAGTATTTACTAATGGTCTCTGTCTTTACGTTTAGATTTTCTTTGTCCTGACATTTCGACCAGTTTCTTATCCAGCTTCCGATGAAGCAGCACTTTACGATTAGCGTCCAAAGCTTTGGGTTTAGCACTCTTTGGCTTGCTGGCAAGCTGCCTAGCTCTCACTTTAGCCGCTTCTCCGCAGCCGTGAACCTCAGGGATATGATGCGACAAACAATAAGTTCTTTCACAACATTTGCACAACTGTCCCAAAGTTCTTATGCTCTGGTTACACCCATTAAAGGCACATTGGGTGTCTAATTTGGTGAACGAAGCCAACATCTTGTCGAAGTCTTCCTCTGGTTGTTTGGGAGAAGGTTTATTTGTTTTTGCCTTGTTTTTCTGCAGTTTGGAGATTGTTCCAGCGCGTGTTTCCTCACTCCGCTCCATTTTGCTGCTTTCCCCCAAGTTTGATCTCATTATCTGCTCGCAGCGCAGCGAGTGAAGCTGAAGATTACAGCTCGGTACTCGCTTTTTGCACAAAGAGCAAGTAGTGACCAGTTCAGAATCCTCTTCATTATCTGTAGTCACAAAGGAAAAAAATAAAAAACAAGGAATTCTTTTTTTCAAATTCGGCATCAATACACACCTTAAGAGTTGGCTGGCAGCTGTTGCATGTTGAGTTTCCATGCAGCTCTTTCCATCACATATATGAACTGACTAGAACTACCATTGTTTATCAATCGTATCACACAGATGGCAAACCCGGTCGGGGGAAAGAAGTATAGGGAGAATACTTAGGCTATTGAAATTGTCAAAATCGCTTCAATCATACTTCCTCCTATCCTCCCTTAGAACATCGCCCATTGCGGTCAGTTTCCCTCCTGCTCAAGAAACAGTTTGTCTCAGATTACCACAAGCAAGGTTTGGAATTTTTCACGAGGTAAGACAAAAGAAATTCCGACCCATTATTACAAACAAATCTCTGGGACGTTTTGTTATCAGTATGGAATGTTTGAGGTTGACTCTCTGGACTTTCTTGAGCAGGGAAAAGTTGATCGCGAGAAGAGATTAGAGTGTTTTCCATAAGCAAGTCAAGACACTGGCAACCTCTTTCCCATAGTCTTTTCTTCTATAGATTGAAATTCTAAATCAAATTGACTTCTAAGTGTCTCCAATTAGCACAACATTGCTAAATACATATGACACTTAAATAAAGTTATTTCTTTCACCCTGGTTCCAAATTTTCTCTTTTCTAGGAGCAAGGAACTCATAGACTCCATAAACAAACCTTTTGACGCCGGTTTGGCTTTTCTAACCACAATATATCTCTCTTTTCCCTCTCCTCTACTTTCATGGCAGAGCGACAGCTTCTCCGCAATGCTATGAACATCAAACCTTTGCTGGGAGTTCAAGGTCTTCGGAAAGGAGAGCTCAAACTTGGACCCATCTTGAATAAAATCCACAATTTCTTTCTCAAGAGTTTCACGGCTGTATTTTGCCGTCGCGGTATTACTACCAGGTAGTAGAGGTTCGTTTATGTCTTTCTCGCCTGGCTTTGAAGGGATTCTTTCACTAACAGCCGGTGGTTCAGGAGTTACATTCACTGGCTCTTGCTGTGAGACATTCTCTGTTGTACTGGATTCAACTTCACTATTTATTGATCTGTTCTCTACGGCCTCTACTACCTTTAACTTATCTCTCTCTTTGACATCGTTTTCTTTAAGAATGATGGTTTTCTTTGCGTTTAAACCCTTTTTCTTCTTGTAGTCTCTTGTCGTTTGGGTCAACAGAACTTCACCATGTTCGTTAGAGCAAGAATCAACCGCCGTCGTGAGCGAATCCTGAAGATACTCATGAGCAGATCTGACCTCGCCTTCACTGCTCAAGTATTTCACAAGAGATTTAAGGAAGTCATCATGGCTAACAGTCTCCGAATCGGCTACAATGGCAAGATGGCGTCGGGCTCGGGTTATAGCAACGTTGATTCGTCTGTGTTCGGCAAGGAAACCAACTTCTCCTAAAAGGAAAGATACAAGAGCATTTTGTAACAACATCGTGTACCTTTAACAGGCGAGGAAAAACAAAAAAACATTCGTAATTTGCAGTAAAACGCGCGGAACACGCAACTGGCGAGAAGTGCAGGAAACGTAATTTGCAGCAAGCCCGGGAAGACATTTCATGACAGGTCCCGAGAGAAACAAGTGATTTTGTTTCCGAGAATCTCAATATTTCCCGGTGGTGGAGCCGAGAAATATTGAGATTCCAGGGAAACAATATTAACTGGTTTCGCGAGGGACCAGTCACTAAGTGATTTGTTATATAGCGCAACGAAGACATTACAAGGTGTAATGTGAAAACAAATCAACGGCGGTGTTTAATGAACATTCTGTTACCCTCTGACGACAAAGATTTTGTAATGTTACCGCTCAGATACTTTTGGCGGGAAACAGTTATTTTGTTAGATGTCATGTGACCTCGAAGTAGCCAATGCATGAGAACACTCGGTGTTGGGGATACAATTCCAGTTATATATCCTGTATATAACAATGGCGTTTAAACCAAGGTTCTTAGTGTACAGAATGTATTCTCGACAAAACATCAGAAAAACGAAAAGTTGCTGGGCTTGAGGACTGCTCTTCCACATAAATCTTTCTTTTCTGAGAAACGATATTTCAAAATTATAATATTTCAAAATTTAGAGACACTAGCATTTCCAACTGTTTCCCTAGAATGCTCCTCACTTCATTTTTCATGACTGATTGAGTCCCGCACGGTTTATTGTGAAGAGAGCAACAAGAAAAACAGGCTGCAAAACCGAAAAAAAGCACCAGATTAATCTAAATTACCTTTTTTGTTGGAGCGAACTAAGGATATCACAACAGCTTCCTTCTCTCTTCCCTGAAAGCCATCAACGGATTTTATTTCTAGCGCTGGGTATGTCGACGACAGACGCAGTCTTAGCAACTCCACCTAGAAGGGAAAGATCATTGCTTTATAAGAACTGTATTCGATAACTTACCATGCTCCGTGCTTTGCCGTTGTCTCCTAGGAAAGTTCTTGGTATTTTGACATCGTTTTGACATCTTTTTGACTACTTCTGATGGCTTCCGTTTCAAATAACCAATCAAACTGCGACAACTTGCCGCTCAGTGGTTTCAAACGTTCGTAGATCGAGACTTTTGAAATTCCCACAAGACTGTAGAGTGAATTTGACAATTGAAAATCTCCGCCCTCGACAGTTCCCATGTCTTGATAAGCCAGTTCAAATAGAAGCCAAGAAAAAATTTGTCAAAAAAAATTTGTCAAAAAGATGCCACAACTGAATCAAGTGGTAACGGTACGTTACGTATCTCTGTAACAGCTACTTAACTTCAGTCTTTACCAGTCCTGAAACCGTTTGGGAAATCAAGCGCTAGCTTTAGGCACTAAGACATTTAAACTGTTTACATTGCTCATTATCATTGGTTTCCAGTTTCCAAGGCAACCATCCACCAATCATAACTCCCGTTGGTTACCCAAATGTGTTTTCCGTTCAATCACCTGCAAGTTATAAGGAGCGATGACGGCGATATCACTTGGCTGAAGTCCAGCGGTAATAAGTGCCACAACATGCGCAGCCACGATGTCAGCCTCGCCTTCATTCCCTTTCGATACTTCATCTTCCACCTCCTTTTCTCTGACGTCACATCCGGCGGTGTCTATCAATAGAAGCGGAAGTGACGTCTCATCTGTTTCCTGTACTCCTGGAAGATCCTTCAGCAAATGAGATTTGACGGAGCTGTCTGCCCTTAGTCGACCCTCGTAAAGTTTCTCTGACGACCATTTCATGATCGCCTCATTCATTCTGTGTGAAGAAAGTCAAATATCGTAAAAAAATCAATACCTGAACATGATTTTAAGTCATCATTTCGCGATAAAATGGGTTAGAATACCATGATGCACAAAACTCTCTAACTGTGTATAAAAAATATCATTTTATGTAAAATGCAAAGCTATAGACTTGGAGTCTTGATTCCTTAGTGGTTTGGTAGAAACGAGAAGCGATCAGAGAGAAACAGAGATGAAGCCGAAGTGGAAGGTGTGGCGGCCTCATAATCAGACTCCAGATCCAGCGGTCGAGGTTCGAGCCCTGGCCGAGGACGCTGTGTTGTGTTCTTGGGCAAGACACTTTACTCAACAGTTCCTCTCTCCACCCAGGTGTATAAAGGGGTACCAGCGAACTTAATGCTGGGGGTAACCCTGCGATGGACTAGCACGAGGGAGTAGAAATACTCCTAGTCATCTCATGCTACAGAAACCGGAGATAAGCGCCGGTTTGATGGGGCACTTGGCTCATATGCAGACTCTTTTTATTCAAGACAGGTCTTAGCAAGTGTCTGTAGCCCGGGTTGTTTTTACATCAATCTAGGCACCGTGCGCTGTGTGGTGTTCTGAACGCACCATGTGTTATCTTTTTACTAACCTATACTGAGTAGTTAACATGCGTACGGCGCCATCTCCCAGTAGTTTTATAAGCCTCTCCATTAACGTGACTTCTAGACCTTGTTTAGCCGCCTCCGTTGATAAGATTGTTGGAGGCAACTGGAGATGATCACCAGCAAGAACACACCTGTGATGGCAGAAAACAGCGCTTAAATCGGAGCCTGAGTAAATGCTTAACTCACCTTACTTTCTTCACATGTACAATAAGTCTCCGCGCAAGGAACGTGGGAGACTGGACCCAAAAAATTCCCCACTGATGACGCGGTTCTGCAGTCTACAGAGATTCGTACAGTCTCATTGGTTGTTCGTTGCCCTGGAAAAACTCCAAAACTGAGAAACAGCCAATCAGGATGCTACACGCATCCCTGTCGAGCCGCGTCATCGGTAGAAAATTTTGGGCCTTATCCCAGGGTTGGGTGAAAGTTTACAGGGGGGGGGGGGGAGGACTTCGCCCCAAGGGTTTATTTCCTTGAAAATGTTCTCTGGGGTCAGGATTGGGGTGGAAGGGTAATTGAGGACCTGAAAAAAAAAAAAAACATCCGCTCTTCAGAACTGCTATACAGTCATGTCAATAATTTCGCTACCTTCTCCCTTTAAATCTTTGATGACTGGTATTAACGTGGCTGAAATTCCAAGTAGCCTACAGTTCCCCTTACAACCAAAGTTTAGCAAGCCGTTAAGGAACAGGGAAATGGGGGTGACGAAAGAGGAAGAGAGAGTAGGTTATAATTTCAAGTCACATCAACACAAACTTTCAAGACAAGAGAGATGGAAACAGAATGGCAATATATTTCTCTCGATTTCTCTGTACTAATATCATAGTTTACCTCTGGCATTACATACCTTGGCGCCCGAAGTAACGGTATCCAGCAGCCAGCTTCAAGAGACTGTGCAGCCTCGTCAATAACAACCAAATCAAAATGTTCTAGCTTCACAAGTTTAAGGGGGCCATCCGAGGATGCGCTAGTATTGGTTGCCAAGACAACATCAGCTTTGGTTAGAATTTCTGTTATGGCTTTGTCTTCTCTTAGTTTGAGCTCTCCTTTCAGTGATTTTATTTCTTGTTTAAGATGCTTCTTTTCTGAGAGATTTCTTGACTTTCTTACTTTTGCCTGTGTGTAAATTAGTAAATACAGAGTTGCCAGTTAGACAGCAGCGAGTTAGACTGGCTATGAGGTGAGACACTTTTAGGGAATGGCATGAAACATGGGCGCCATACTGCCCTTTTGGGTTTGCGATGGCTAAAGTGACCTGAGCTGCCAGCTGCAGCTAGCAGTAAGTTAAGGTAATTCTCTGCTTTTCATCTTCTATTCCAGTGCTGCTTGTATCCTCCTAGTATAAGGCTGACCAGGGGGTTATTCACAAAGCATGGAGGACTTGAATTCAGGATCATGAAATTTAAGTCCGTCTATTGGAAGGGAGGGGCAATTTGAACCCAGAACCCCTGGATCAGAAAGCCATTACCCTCAACACTATGCCACCGCAAGCAATTGAAATCTAAGACTGAAGAAGAATACAGTGAAATTGACAATGAACTTGGACAATGTTCATACCAGTGTGTCATCAATATCCTTTCTCACATCTCGTACAATGGCTGTGCCTTCAGAATTAGACAGTAAGGCATCCAGGGAATGCTCTTGAACAACACTGAGCAGACGAGCAGGATGACCAACCCTCACAACCTGACAAATTTAGGAAAATGAACTCAGTTACCAAATGTCAATGATTGTCTGTAGCTACAGCAGTTAAGTTGTGCGCGCACGATGTACGACACTTGAAACGGCGCACGCGTCTGCAACAAATTTGCACGTGCAACATTGCGCAAGTTTTCAACGGGTTTCTAATTTAAGCTGTTTTACGCTCAATTACTATACTTTGTAGCCTCGAGAGTACTATTTTTAAGTCATTGGAAGTTTATTTGTACGTGTATTCAGTTATTCAAGGCTTTTTCATGCGTATTTGTTTCGCGTGTACGCTATCCTGGTTTCTAGGTCTTTCTAGTAAGTTCTGTGGTGTCGCGAAAGCACACGCGTAGCGCCGCCACACCCAACTAGCATTATAAAAAAGTAGCTTTTTCGTCAGCAAGATCAGTTGACGCAAGATCTGTTAATTCACCGCAAGTTAACAAGTTTCTCCAAGTTTATCATTGTTCTGGTGATCAAGGCAGTACCAAGGTAATTATTTTTTACGCTATTTTA